ACATCTGGTGAGGGCCTTTTCTGGGTGGCCACTACAGTGACACAGGGTTTCACATGGCCTAATATGGCAGGAGTGGAGAGACTTACCTTCCCACTTGTTCTCTTTTTAAAGCCGCCAGAACCACTCCCGATATTTCAAGAATGGATCAATCCATTGATGAGGGCACAGTCCTCACAATCCAGTCACCTCTTCAAAGCGCCACCTTTCAATGACCATAATAGGATTTCCCACCCTCTTAACACTGTCACAGTGGGGATCGAGTCTCAGTGGGCTTTGGGGGCACATTTAATCCACAGTAAACTTCATCAGACATTTCTGCAAAGAAGATAAATGACTGACAAGCACATGAAAGCTCAGCACCATGAGTCATTAGGGAAATGCAAATCACAAGCACAGTGAGATGCCAGTCCATGCCCACTGGCATGGCTGTGATAATGAAAGGAGAGTAACAAGCGTTGATGAGACATGACTGAGCAGCGACCTTTGTAATGTGGGTGTAGAATGGGGCAGCTACTGTGGAAGAGTTTGGTGGTTCCTCAAAAAGTTAAACAGAATTATCATACGATCCATAAATTCCACTCCTGGGCATATCCCCAAGAGTCCATCCAGAAACTTGTACATGCCTGTGTACAGTGGCATTATTTGTAATAGTCAGAAGGTGGAAACAACCCAAACGTTTGTTAATGGATGAATGGCTGAACAAAATGTGGTAGACCCACGCAGAGGAGCTCTGTTCATCAGCAGAAAGGAACGAGGCACCGACACGCACCACAATGTGGATGAGCCTTGAAAACATCAGACTGAGTGACAAAAGCCAGCCACAAAAGGGAGCATGCTGTGTGAGTCCATGTGCATGGAATATCCCCATGAGGGAAACCTACAGAGACAGAAAGTAGACTAGTGGTGGCTGGGGCTGGGGGCGGGGCGGGGTGGACGGGGAGTGACTGCTAAGGGCACAGTGTTTCTTCTGGAGTGACAAAAATGTTTCGGAACTATATGGTGATGGTGGCACGACCCTATGAATGACCACTAAGGCTGAGCCTCAGGACTCTGCGAGCACAGGCTGGACAGTCACCTCGGCTCAGGTCAAGGCCTGGAGAGGGAAGGAGCAGGACCCCAAGACCTGGAGTGGGGATACTGGGGTGCATGTGCTTGAAACCCTGAGCCCCCTTACTGCCCTGAACTCTCCGCGGGCAAAGTAGCCTCCCTCCAGAAGAGAACAGCCTTCCCTCACCTGATAACTAAAGGTCTCACCAGGGCAGGTGCCTGGTGAGGGGAGGCTTGTCCTCAAAATCCACCTTTGCTTTCCCCTGCAGCCTGTGGACCAGCACCTAAGTCCAGCCTGAGCGGAGAATGCCATCCCTGCTCTGCAGGAAGGGCACCAAAAGGAAGGCAGGGCCTGGCGAGGTGTCCCAGCAGGAACTGGGGTCCACGAGAGGTGACCGATCACTCACAAGGCTGGGTAGGTGAGACTGAGTCAGGTGTGGACGCCAGGCGCTGGTCCCAACACAGCACTGGGATGCTGTTCGGAAGTCTGGATGTGACAGTAGCCTGAGGTCCATGAGATGTAGGTTCCAAAAGCACCTGAGCAGCACACTGAGGAAGGGGCATGCGGTTCAGGAGGTGGGAGTGCCAGAGAGTATTATGACATGAGAGCAGACAGCCCAGGGCTGACCGTCCCCTGGGAGGGCCCAGAGGCCACTCCTTCACCAGGGTGGTGCACAGGTGATGGGCATAGCGTCACCAAGAGGCCCCCTGAGGAAGGCTGTCTCTGGAGTCAGGATTGAAGGGCAAGTGTTGTCATGTGTCAAAGGAGATGACGGGCCCTGGACAGCAAGGCTATTGGGCAAGATGGGCACAGACTGTTACCATGGTGGGCGCCCAGGCCAGAGGCACAGTCAGGAGGCCCTGACCGCAGGGACCCATGGTGATGGGTAATCGACCATGGTGCTCCTTGAGGCAGATGGGTGGGCAGCTGGCCAGGCTGCCGCTTGACTTGTAGAACTAGAACAGGCCGAGAGACAGGGAGGGGAAGACTGAGGCCACCACGATGAAGCCCAGCTCCTCACTCGGATCCCAGCCAGTCCTCACCTAGAGCTCGTGAAAGGAAGGGGAGACTGGGTTCCCTCAAGAAGAACAACACCCCTGCAAGCTAGTGCCACAAATCATCTCAGTCCTTCTCCAGAGAACTAGGTTCTAGGGAAAGAGAGACACCCAGACCTTACAGGGATGCTGGATACAGGGTCTGTGCTGATGCTGAAGCCAAGGGTCCCCAAATGCCATTAGAGTGGGGGCATATGGAAGCCAGGCGACAAAAGGGGCACAGGACCCGGTCATGGACCTGCCTGTGGCCACCCCATCCCCACCCCAGTCCCTGTGGGCCCCATCAGACAATGCACTTAGCAGGGAGAGCCCTGTCACTGGTCTCTTGCCTGGGGAATAACAGCCAGGACTGTGGGAATGGCCAGTGGAAGGCCCTGAAATCCACAAGGCTGCCAATCAGAAGCAGCGCTCACCCGCACGGGACAGCAGGGGTCAGAGCCACACGTGTGGGGTACTGAATAAGCAAGTTGACAAAGTCCTTGCTATTCCAGGGAAGCCAGCAAGGCTGGCATCCTTTTGCCTACTTCCCCCTTCTCCCTCCTTTTGAGGTCTGACCTTTGAGGGAAGCTTTGTAAATGAGAAACTTATGTTCTTATTTTGTTGATAAGTAGTTAGCTGTGAATCTTCAAGCACCATGGCAGCTGAAAATGTTTTGTCCTATAAATAGCTTGGTATCAGATATAATTAATGTAATCAGTACAGTTTGTTATTTTCACTGGCTTATAAAAAGGAACCTAAAACAAAGATGCCTTACAGGTCAGCAGCCTGCAAGGTCCTCCTGATCCCATAAAATAAATCGTGTCTTTCTTCATTTCCCACCGTCTCCCCTCGGGGTACTGGTCAACAACACACACTGGAGATGAAAGGTGCAGGGATGGTGGCCCCCCACAGCCCCACCCACGGTGCCCAAAATACCTCGTGGCTAATGCCTGGGGACAGTGAGCCCCTGAAGCCCGACCAGGTGCAGGCTACACCACAGCTGCTGGGCTGGACTCAGTGCCTCTGACAATAGACCAGCAGCACCTGCTGGCACTTGAGAAGAGACTGTGGGTTTGGCAAATGTGTTCTTTTTGTTCCCATCAAAGAGGATCAAAGTGGCTAGAGTTTATCGGGGGGTGGACAGAGCACACATTCACAGTCTTGCTCAGGCCTGTGGTCTCCTGTCTGTCAGCAAAATCCACAGGGGCTTGGAGAGCTGCGCCGTCTGCAGAGCAGTCCAGCGGGCACTGGACCGATGACGTCATGCTAATCAGATGTGCTGAACAAACCAGAAGTGGCAAGTGCTCCAGACTGCAGCAGAGGGAAGGGGGCAAACCCTACAGAGCGTCAGGGGTCTGCCATATTGGTGAAGCTTGTAGGGGTCCTAGGATGGGGACTGCTGAGAGATCAGCTCTGTGGAGAAAGGGCAGTTGCCCTCCCTCTAGGAAAGCAATAATATGGGCTTGGTGGCCTTTTTGGGTTGACAGAAAGCAAAAACCTCGCTTGAGGAGGCTGCTCCTCCCGCACTGAGCAATGCAGAGGTCCTGTGTCAAGTGGGACCCAGAAAAAGCAGGGGTCTGTCTCCACCACAGGCCCTGGCTGAGCGGCGGGTCAGAACCCTGCGAGGCATTCCTAACCAGCTGTGCAGGAGTCACTGTGCAGAGCCCTGACCCAGGCAAGGCAGTGCCTGCTGCAGCAGGACTCACCTGCCATTTCAAAATGGGCATGTGAGGTGCTGCTGGGTCTGGCAGGGACCCAATAAGGGACATAAAGAACTGTGGCCAGAACTGCTGCCAGAGCTGGTATCCTCAGGCCCACCCAGAGTAGGCCTGGCAGGTCCAGAAGACACAGCAAGGCCCACGGTCAAGACCCAGACCCACGTGACAACTCCTTGACCCAGCACCTCTGCCTCAGCTCTTCCCCAGGGTCTCCCTAGGACCCTGATGACCAGGTGGTGGCCTGGGTCTTACCTGGGTGGGCTAGAAATGTGGGACTAGGGAACAGGGGAAGGAGAGGCCTCCCAGAAGATGGGGTCTGAGTGGTGCACCTGCTCGCCAACTCCTTGGAAAGGACATAGTGGAGCGCAGGGTAAGGTCAGGGCCAGGGAGGCCTGGGGGCAGCCTTGTGATGGACACAAGCTGCAGATCCGCTGCTGGAGGCACTGAAGGACCAGCACACAATATGCCCACAAGTTTCCCTGATGTGACGGGGGGACATGCACAGCTCCCTTTCGCCTAGGCTGACCTAGCTCTGTCTCGCTGAATGCATGACCCATCGGTAGCAAAGACCAAATCCTCACTACAAAGCCTAAAAGGAACCTGGCCAACATTTTTGGCAAGTTAATCACACTGGACCTTCCAGCCAGGAGGGGACAGTGGCTCATCCTGACCAGTACCGACATCTACTCCAGATCTGGCTTTGCCTTCCCTGCCCACAGCACTGATGCCGGGATCATGGTCCTAGGGCACACCCTGCTTTGTGGACATGGGAGATGCAGACCATGGGACCGTGAGACCCACTGTGGCAAAGGAGGTGAGACAAGGGGCACAGGGCCCCAGATCCGCTGGTTCTACAGTCTGTGCATCAGTGGGAGCAGTGGCCTGATGCAACCTGCCAAGGCTGAGCTGGGAGCCAGCCTGTGGGCCTCCATGACATGCACCTGCACTGCCCCATTGCTGGACATGGAGTGGTGTCCCCAGCAGCTGACATGCAGGCCCAGCAGTCACGGCTCCCCACGACCTGCCTGGAGAATGTTTCCTTCCCGTTACTAGAACTTTTGGCCCTGCTACAGAATCTGCACGGCCTGTAAAGCCTGCAGTATTCCCACCCTGTGCTAGGACGAGGCCATCCACTGGGCTTGCTGGGCCAATGCGGACGCTCTGCACCTGTGTAGACCAAAACTCAGCACCAGCCCCAGGTGGCTGCTGCCATCGAAGAGCCAAATTCCAAATTTTATTTAAATTAATGGATTCAACTTAAAGAGCCACACGTGGCTAGCAGCTCCCATATTGGAGAACACAGGTCTAGAAACCCACTAGGGTTCCCGGCTCCCCAGAAGCTGTCAGCACGCTGCACAGGGGGTGAGTGCACATGCTGGGGAGGGCCTGCAGCGCAGCCCTGTTGTGAAGCAGGCTGGCCGTGAGGTGCAGACCTGCAGCAGCAGGCAGCCGGAGGTCCAGGACCAGGCTGCAGCAAGGACACGGGTCTGCACTGCGGCCTCCACCACACATCCCTCCTGGCTCCCAGCCCCAGGAACGTTCTCTCCTGGCCAGTGCTATGTGCCCACCTTCTATGCACAAGGCACTAGATGGACCAGAAGGGCCCAGGGATTAGCTCAGAGCCCCACTGGGCAGGCGCCCAAGTCCACATCCCACTGGCTGGACATCCACAGATTTGCCTGCCCAATGTCCAGTTCCCTTTCTTGTGGCAATGGACCCATTTTAGGAGACTTGACCACTGGGCTTGACTGCTTGGTTTGAGATGGGCAGGCAACCTGCTCAGGATGTGAGTTTGTAGCGTTGGCACTGAGGGCTTCCTCTTGTCCTGGACTTGCTGTGATGACAGTGGTTAGCAGTTCCAGGCTCTCCACATGGATAATGCAGTCAGTTCTCAGAGCAACCCTGGGGAAACTGAGGCACAGAGGGTACATAACTTGCCCAGCCACTCAGCTGGTGATGAAGCAGCAGAGCTGGATGTGAGCGGGATCTATGAGGCCTTAGCTGCCACCTCCACCACAGGTGGGGGCTCCCTGGGAAGGGGTGACACAGGACGGCAAAGGGCAGGTGAGCAGACACATCCTGACTGGACGATGGTCAGCCAGTGGGCTCGCTGCCATGCATGGCCACCAGCCGTCCTGGGAGCTGGACGTGTTCTGGGCTGGAGGAGTGTTAGATACTTCACTCTTGCCCCGGCGCTGACAAGAGCAACTTCCTGACCTGAGTCGAGGGCTGCGCCCTCTTGCTTTGGCCAGTTTGATTCGAGTTTTCTGTTCCTTGCAGTTGAGGGTTTTAACTGACACTTGTCCTGTGGAGTTGGGGGGAGAGAGTGAGGCACCTGGCACAGGGCTGGGTTCCTGGAAAGTTCTCCAAACCTGCATCTCCTGCAATGATAAGAGGGCAATGGCAACCAGTCTTCACCCCTTGCCACTAACTGGCTGCCTGTTCTCAGATTTGACAGGTGTCTGCACCCCTAGGTAAAGACTCCATGCGACTGTCCTTCCCGGGGCTGTTCACGATGCCCACACTGGCTGTGCACAGTGAACAACCTGAGGCTCCTGGCTCCCTCACTCACCCATGCTGAGGTTTCCCAGGGTCTCTCTTTCCTCGGCCCCTAGCAGGTCCAAGTCCCAGGGCTCCTTTCCTTACTCCAGCGGGAGATCAGATCTGGTTTGGATCCTGGAAATCCTGCCGGAGAGGAAGCAGTGGACTGAGGTGCTAGGACGTCCTCAGCTTCCTGCCTACCCCCAGCTTCTGGGCTGCAGAAGTAGCCCTAGGACCAGAGTAGTACGGCGCCCCAGAATGAAGGCTCAGGAACAAAGGGACTCCTCAGGAGGTTGAGGGGGTGGGGAGCAGGGGTGGGGCGCAGGCTCAAGACAAAGACAACGGGCTCAACTGGGTCCACAGTGAGAGTATGGGGGTACCCCACCCACAGGGGCAGCAAGGCTGGCCCTGCCCCCGCCTGTTACCTGGGCTCTGGTCTGAATGGGAGGAGGGTACTCTGGTCCCAGCCCACCTGGCCCCTCCAGGACCCCTCTGAGCTCTGATGGGGGCTAGGGTGGGTGAGAGGAAAGGCCTGGGTCTAAGACCCCGTACTCAGTGAGGCCAGGTTCCTGTGAATCTCCAGCATCAAGTCCCTATTCAGGGCCCTCTGCCGTAGGTCCAGACCCACCCCCTTCCTGGGTGAAGTGCACTGCCACGTCCGAAGCTCAGCAGGCCCTGAAACAACACACGTGTGCAGTTCGGTGACGTGGGGTCCCCAACCTGTGGGTGGGGACACACATAAGGGGGAGGGGAGAAATCAGCTCAATGGGCTGGCCGCTCAGCTGGCCCGCAGCTCTGTGGGGAGGACGGGTTATGGGGTTCCGTGGGTCCCCTGGACATAATCCCAGGCGCTCTGGCTGCCAGGGAACCCCTAAAGACAAGGGGAATTGGCACCCCCAACTCAACCTTCCCCGCTGACCACATTCACTCCACCCTCCGTCCTCCACAACCGGCCCCCCACTGTCTTCCTTGGTGATGCGACCCTCGCCAGCCTCAGGGCGGCCTCGGAGGAAGAGGAGAAGGCCGAGGCGGCCGAGCGACGCCTGGAGAGAGTCCGGAGAGGACCCGGGATTCAGGGCTCCGTGTGCGGCGGGCCACGAGTCAAGGCCCTTCGGGAGGCGCGCTCACCAGGGGCCAGGCGGGCGGGGGTCTGCCCGCCATCCCGGCAACGGGTCCTGGGGATGAACGCGGCGGCGGCGGGAGGAGGGGGTCCCCAGAAGCTGTCAGCACGCTGCACAGGGGGTGAGTGCACATGCTGGGGAGGGCCTGCAGCGCAGCCCTGTTGTGAAGCAGGCTGGCCGTGAGGTGCAGACCTGCAGCAGCAGGCAGCCGGAGGTCCAGGACCAGGCTGCAGCAAGGACACGGGTCTGCACTGCGGCCTCCACCACACATCCCTCCTGGCTCCCAGCCCTCGGGCCCCGCCTCTCCCCGTGCGCGCTCAGGCCCCGCCCTCGGCCTCGGCCCCGCCTCGCTCCATGCGCTCGCTCGGGCCCCGCCTCTCCCCGCGCGCGCCCGGGCCCCGCCTCCCTCGGTTACCTGCCTGGGTTACCTGGGACGCTTGCTAGAAAGGTGAGGGTTCCGGGCCTTTCCCGTGGGGATTCTGGTTCAGTGGGTCTGCGGTGGGCTCGGGAATCACTTTTACCAAGTTCTTCTGGCTACTCTGTTGAACGGGTGGGCTTAGGAACCCCTGTCCGTGACCCTCCTGTTTTGGGGGACAATCCTCACGCGAGGGGCCCAGCCGGGACCCCGACTTCAGAGCGCTTGTGTGTTCCACGCGCACGTTTTAAAGAGACAAACGTGCCTCTGTCCTCAAAGATCTGGGGGTTGGCGCTGGCAGAGCTCGGCCGAAAGAAAGAGAGGAGAGAAGAGCGGGGGAGAGAAAAGAAAGGAGAGGACAAGGAAGGAAGGGAGAAAAGAGAGGAAGAGAAAGAAAGGGAAGAGACAGGGGCCGGGAAGGTTCGTGGCCGCGCTTGCAGGGACGGGGACGTCTGAGCAGAGGACAAGCCGCTTCGTGCGAGAGACGGGTTCGCGCTTCCTCGTCAGTCCTTGCAGGGCGGTTGAGTCCCCGGGTCCGGTTTTGTAATGGGGGGGTCTCTTTCCTGTCTTCTCTTCTGTTAGGGTCGTCCTGCGGGGGCAGGTAGATCCCACCCAAAACTTGGTTCTGATGTCAACTTATGACGCCACCCACACCCCAAGAGGGTTTGAAAATGTTGACAGATAACTTCAAAAAGTTCATGGAAAAATAAAATTAAAAGATCATGTGAATCTTTCCATGAGCTTTTTGCAGTACCCACACAATGAGGCTTCTCTAGGGACAGCAGGACAGGCCCCTGAAAGTGGCTTCAGACAGCAGGGAAAGGGCCCTGGTGGGGGGTTTTGATTGTGGTTAGGGGTCCGGCCAGTGTGAGGGCTCCCAGTGGCAGATGGGGACGTGGAAGGAGCGCCTGGCTTCTTTATCAGCTTGTCGGATGTGGGGCAAAGGGGAAGAGGGAGGTGAAGCTTAAAAGCTGCCACAAACATCCAAAAATAGAATTAGACATTTTATTACATCTTCATGTTCCAATTTGTGGCTTCAGAGGGCCTCATGAATTAGGGTAGCAGTCACAATATTTGTACCTTATTTGCATATCAAATAATTCAAACTCCCCTTAAACATGTATATTAGCAGGTCTAGATATTGCATGCATGAAACCTGATACTGATTCTTTTCTTTCTTTCTTTTCTTTTTTTTTTTTTTTTGGTGCCTGGCCGTTATGGGGATCTGAACCCTTGACCTTGGCGTTATAACACCCCCCAAAAGCTGATGCTGATTCAGGCTCTGGGAACAGGACTGTCCAGTTAGGGAGCTGGGATTTATGGCCAGCAGTGGAGGAAGGGAGTGAAAGGAGGTGTCTGGGCAGGACGGGATGTGACTTAAGTGATGAGAGGGCCCTAAAACAGAGTCACCACCTTCCAGGGAACAGAGACATTGTCTCAACATAGCTGTGAAATGTCTTTACAGGGCACAAACCAGAACTTTCCCATCCCTCGGAATGTGCTGATTGGAGACGAGCTGTCAGAAGGAACACTGGTAACAGCTGGAACAGTGATGGCCAGAACCACAAGTTGCTTCTTTGTCTGGGAGACTCAGCCAGTTGGAACTCGCCACCAGCCGGCCACGCAGCCCAGATCGCCGCACCTTCACATGCCAGCCCTCCTGGAGATGGCTTGGGTTTTTTTGAGCATTAGCCACCCGATCGCCACGACTTGTGATGAAAGCTCTATTTTGCCCACTGCAACTCGGTATCATTGTTTCGGCTTTATCTGCACACTGGGTGGACGCACCTAGCTGTGGTTCTACTACAAATACGTGACATTATGCATTAGGCAAAAGCCATAGAACTGTACAATACAAAGAGGGAACCCTAAGGTAAAACTAAGTTAACAATAATATATCAATATTGTTTCATAATTGCAACAAATGTGTCACCTAATGCAGCATGTCAATAACAGGAGAAACTGTATGTGGGTGGGAGAGGGTATGGGAAGTATCTGTACTTTCTGCTTAATTTCTCTGTAAAGCTAAAACTGCAACAAAAAAAAAAGGCAGATACAGCTTATGTACTTTAATAAAATTATTTTTGATGTTAAAAAAGTAGAGTTCAAGAACAGATTAAGCCAATCAGAGCAGCAGTTGTCTCTAAGAGAGCTGGGAGTGTCTCCCGAGCACAGCCCTGAGCGGGCTTTCCAGGGTGACGGCGATGTTCCCTGTCCTTACAGGGGTTTGTGTAACACAGGGGTCTGCATTTGTCACGGTTCCTCTGCGCATACCCTTATGCATGCATTTCACTGTCTGTAAATTGTACCTTTAAAACCGCCCTGTAAGACTGAACCCTAGTTAATGATTTGCATGCTGGAGTGTATTGCTTTGTAATACATTAACAAAGAAGATGGACGGATAGACAGAGGGATGGTCAGAAAAATATGTAATAAGGAAATATAGCAGAAAGTTCATTGTAGAAACTAGGCCGCTGGTATATGAGTGCTCACTATACAATTTTTGAACTTTTATGTATATATATAATATATATATATATATTTTTTTCATTTGTTTGTTTGTTTGTTTTTAAAGATGACTGGTAAGGGGATCTTAACCCTTGGCTTGGTGTTGTCAGCACCACACTCTCCCAAGTGATCCACAGGCCGGCCCTAAACTTTTATATTTTTAAAATATAAAATTTTAAAAAATTATATTAAAAAAATATTCTTAATAAGATACTAGAAAAATATTTAGTAGAAATATTTTTATGTTACATGTTTGGATTCATTAACTATAATTTATATTTTGCTTTTTAAAAAAAGTTTTTTAATTGACAAGAATTGTATGTATTTCCAGTGTACAATAAGATGTTTTGACATATATACACGCACACACACACACTGTGGAATGACTCGGTCACGCTGTTGAACATGTGCATTACCTCACATACTCATCTCTTCTTTTGTGTGGTGACAACACTTAAAATGTACTCAGCGATTTTCAAGTATACAATACCTTGTTATTACCTGTAATCACCATGATGTACAATAGATCTCTGGAATTTATTCCTCCTGCATAACTGAAATTTTGTGTCCTTTGACCAACAACTCCACAACGCCCCTCCAGCCCCGGTAACCAGCATTTCGGTCTCCGTTTCTATGTTCGGCTTTAGTGTTTAAGAGCAGGTCTAGGGCCGGCCGGGTGGCGCACTGCTACAGTGCGCCGCTTGGGAAGCGCGGCGGCGCTCCCGCCGAGGGGTCGGATCCCACATACAGACCAGTTCCCACTCACTGGCTGAGCAAGGTGCGGGCGCAACACCGAGGGGTGCGATCCAGTTGCCGGTCCCGGTCCGGTACGGGCGTGACACTGAAGGTTACGATCCGTTGCCGGACACGAAACAAGACAAAAAGGAAAAAAAAAAAAGAGCAGGTCTAGGGCCGGCCGGGTGGCGCACTGCTACAGTGCGCCGCTTGGGAAGCGCGGCGGCGCTCCCGCCGAGGGGTCGGATCCCACATACAGACCAGTTCCCACTCACTGGCTGAGCAAGGTGCGGGCGCAACACCGAGGGGTGCGATCCAGTTGCCGGTCCCGGTCCGGTACGGGCGTGACACTGAAGGTTACGATCCGTTGCCGGACACGAAAAAAGACAAAAAGGAAAAAAAAAAAAAGAGCAGGTCTAGGCTCACAGCAGAACCGAGAGGGGGGCACAGAGCGTTCCCATACGCCCCCGCCCCACCATGCACGGCCTGACCCACTGTCCACATCCCGCCCGGGACTGGTAGCTTATTACAGTTCCTGTATCATTACCACTCAAAGTCCATATGATTTGCTTTTTAATTTTTAACCTTTTATTTTGAAATAATTTTAGACTCACAAGAAGTTGCAAAAACAGTGCAGACAGGTCCCACGTACTCTTCACTCAGTCTTTGCCAACAGCAACGTCTTACACTGTCAAGGCCACACGACTGAGCTGGTGTGATGCCGGTAGCTCATGAACAGACCTAGTCCAGATTTCATCAGCTTCACATGCACTCTTTTTTTTTTTTTTGGAAGGGAGGATATGGTTTTATGGAATTTGATCCCATGTATGGATTCTTGTGACCACCATCACGACCAGGATGCCAACCTGCTCCAGCACCACAATGCTGCCCCTTACAGCCACACGGCCCCTCCCCCTGACCCCGGGAAACACTGTTGTCCAGCACTATAGTCGTTTCGAGAATGTCCTGTAGATGGAATAATAGGACATGTTTCATGTGCTCTCCACATGACTTCGATGCCCTCGGGATCCGCCAGGCTGCACGCACAAGCAGCTCAGGTAGCCCGCTCGGTGGCTGAGTCGTCGCCCACGGTGGGGATGCCAGTTTGTTTACTCACTCACCTGCTGAAGGACATTTAATTTTTTTCCAGTTTCTGGCAATTTGGTGGCTGGACAGCACAAGGATCAAACTCTGGTCTTTAGTGTTATTAGCACCACGCTCTGATCCCCGGAGCTAACCTGCCAGCCCCCAAACTGCCTAACTCTTTTCCAGCATCTCCACTAACAACATAGGAGTGACCAGCTTCCCCACATCTTCATAAGCCTACATCTTGAAGACATTCTTCTATTTGTGTGTGTGTGTGTGTGTGTGTGTGTGTGTGTGTGTGTGTGTGTGTGGCCGGCTGGTAAGGGGATCCAAACC